TGATTGTGCCCTGCAATGGAGTTTCCGGCTAGAGACAAGTACCGGAGAGTGATGGGGAAAGCGGGTGGGAGTTGGCCGGAGATTTGGTTCATCTTTAGGTCTAAATGGAACAATGGGCTAGAGACAGGTTTAAGGTTGTTGGAGAAATGGTTTGAGGCTAAAACAAGGACTTTGAGTCGAGGAAGAGTAGTGAGAAACGGAGGGAGAGAGCCTGAGAGTTGGTTATAGCTAAGGTCAAGAGTGTGGAGGTTTGAGAGAGATGAGAAAGAAACTGGTATAGGACCGGTTAAGCGGTTTCTTGTTAAGGAAATGACTCTAAGGAGAGGGAGGGAATCGAACCGAGGAGGGAGAGGACCGGTGACTGAGCCAGGGTAGAGAATGAGTTGGTTTAAGTGTGTTAGAATGGAGATGGAAGGGGAGAGAGAACCTGAGAGATTAGGGCCAAGAGTTAAGCCGGTGACACGGCCGAGAGAAGAGCAGGTAAGGCCAGAGAAGGAGGAACAAGGGTCAGGGACTGTGAAGTCCCAAGAGGAGAAGAAGGCTGAACCAGGCATGTCGGTTAAAGAGTCTCTGATGGATTGGAGCGCGGCTCGATCCGTAGGAGCTAATGAAGAGAAAGTGGAGTGGACGAGAGTGAGCAGAAGGAGAAAGAAAGTGTAGCTCATGTTTTTGTTTTTGTCTTTTTGAGAGTTGTTTGGTGAGAGAGTTTTAAAGAAGAGAAGAGAAGAGAGAGCGTGAGAGAGCGTGAGAGAGCGTGAGAGAGAGTAATAATGAAGTACACAACATGTGTGTGTGATAGACAGTGAGTGAATGTTAACGTTATGGATTCTTGTTCGAAAATGTGTTAGTTTATTTATTAGTGACGTCTCTTTTGACTTTTGTCGGTGTCATTGGCGGTTGTGGTCACTTTTTGCATTCATCTCTCTCTTCAGTAGGTAATTTAAAATTAGACTTTTTTCCGGGTTTTTTTTTTTTACTTTTTTGGTTTGGTTTGACAAAAGTTTGATTTGATTTGGTTTTATAGAAAAATTAGTCAGAAGTATAAATAATTTAGTTACTAAAGAAATATAAACTTGAAATTAGAATTTATAAATTTTAATAAGTTTTGGTTTATTTGATTCAATTTAGTTAATATTAGTACTAGTTTTGATTTTGGTTAAATATATTTCGTTTTTTTTTTTTTAAAGTATGGATCGATTCCAATTTGGTTCAACTAGATTATAGTACAGCTATGGTTAAGTCGGTTGATTTTGGTTTTTAAAGTTTGATTCAGTTTAAAAACCGTATTCTATTGGCAACCATCATTTTGGAGGGAAAAAAACAAAATATTCAGTGAGAGATACAAAACGAAAGAAATAGGGAGTTTTTCGTTTCCTTTGTTAAGATTTCTGATTAATTCATTAATTGTTAGTTTAAGCTACATTCAAGGAGTATTATAAATTAAGTTTTTTTTCTTTTCTTTTCTTGGGAATAAAATACGTATAAACAGAGTCGGTTAGAGTATTAGGTGGAAGATTTGAGGTGGTTATATCCTTAATGTGGCTTGAAACACTCATGCATAATTTGTAATTCTGAATTGTTGTTAGGTTTGATTTCAATAATTTTGGATTTGTCTATGATTTTCTTATATGATCTAGGTTTTTTTAGTTCTATGTTCTTAGATTTCTCTATGATTTAGGAATTGTCAACCATGGGATCGTTCTCAGACTGTTCCAATCAAACATTATTTGGTCTTCCTCCGGCCAAGGTGGTAGAAAAATATTAATCTACAAATTTTATAGTATAATATTGGTGGAGAGAATGTTTTTGGGATTAAACCTGTCCAATGAAGCTTCTCAAACTGTGGGAACTCCTTGGTATTTAGACCATAATATGTGAGTAATAGCTTCTGATTTCTGACATTATGATGTGCCGAGATGGAGATTTCTATCTCTACTTCAAAGTTCATGCCATGAACATACAAACAGACCAATAATTGATGACCCTCAGAAGTAAGATTCACCAAGAGATGGCTTCGTAAACCCTTTATCTGAATCCCTATATCCACAACATGAGCTAACTCTTTTGCAACCCCATAAAGCTGATTTCATAAACCTCTTGTCTAAGCTTAAGGGCTTCACCGTCACTGTAAAACTCCTCTAACCTGTCTCCATGAACTTGTCCAGCTAAAGTTCCACCAGGCTCCCACACTCGGTTAAAGAGAAACAAATCATGAAATTCTTTTCCAGTCATTAGAATTTCATCAGTTAGAGATAGGAAAACATCTACATAGGGTCTTTTTAGTAGTATAAGTATCTGCTTCTTGTATTCCCAGCCATTAAATTTTAATGCTTTTAAATGAAAACCAGAAAATACCAGAGTCTTAAACTTTTGTTGTGCTTCCAATACTGAGACATCCTTTCCACTTGATTCATCCACAAAAGAGCACTTGTCATCCATCAAAGGTTTATACACGAGTTTAACAACAATTTCTGAAGCAAATATTTCACTTGATGTATCATCACCAAAAGACTCCTCATCAACACATTGAAAAGGTGATCCGCCACTATCCCACACACGGATTTGAATTGATCCATTATAAACTGCTGACTTTAAAGTCTCACCAACTAGCTTAAATCGATCAATTGTTTTCCTCCGACGAGCAGCAACAGTTACTTGGAACTCTTTGTTTACATGGTCCCAAACTTTTTTCTCTTTAAGATCTTTATTAAGCAACCCATTTTTCTCCACAAGAGAGAGCTTATTACCCATCAATTTGCTTCTCCTTGGGCTATTTTTGAACTTGAACTTCCAGCCCTTAAAATACTTCCTCTGTTTTACCTTACTTGTTACTGTTATAGGAATTTGATCAAACTCTTGGTGTGCAATGATTTTGCCACTACCACTTATTGATTGTTGAGTCAATTCTTTCCACATTTAGAGCCCACTAGATTCTAAAGCCCAAGATTGACCCGACCCAACTTGAGTTAGGGTTTCTGTATCTTCAAATCGGTAGCCGTAACAAATCTGTAACCACAGGAAAAAACAGAGTTTCTTTTGAAGCTGCAACACAACTTATTTGTGCTACATCGATCCTTGTTTCAAATTTTCATATTGAAGATGATATCCGATCTTCCTAAAGATTTGGCAGATGAGGTGCTCGCTAGGCTTCCGGGGACATCTCTGAGAGGAATCCGATCTGCTTGCAAAAAGGGGAACACTTTATCCACAGATCGGAGCTTTACAAAGAAGCACCTTGCTCAAGCAAAAGCAGCAACGAAGAAGAAGTTTTTACCTGCAAAAAAGACGATGATGTCCGATCTTCCAAGTGATTTGGCAGAGGAGGTACTGTCTAGGCTTCCAGTGACATCTCTAAGAGGGTTCCGAGCTGCTTGCAAAAAATGGAACACTTTGTCCAAAGAGCGGAGCTTTACAAGGAAACACCTTGCTCAAGCAAAAGCAGCGGCAGCAAGGGAGTTTATGGTGGTCATGGTGATGAATTCTCGGGTTTATTTGATGGGCATCAATCTCCATGGAGTTCACGAGAGCGTTGACCCATCTATAAACCATCAAGGTAAACTCGTTAGCCTAAACGATTCAGATCGGGTCGATATATCTAGAGTATATCACTGCGACGGTTTACTGTTATGCATCGCGAAAAACTACTCTAGGTTCGTGGTTTGGAATCCGTACTCGTGCAAAACTTTGTGGCTCCAACCCAGAAGTCCCCACCCTAGATTGGACTGGTATACATATGCTATAGGATACGAGAAGCGCAAATCATGCCGGAACTACAAAGTTTTGAGATTCGTTGATCTTGCCGAAACAGAATTTGTTAAGTACGAAATCTACGAGTTAAAGTCTAATTCATTGAGGGTTCTTGATGTCACTTCCGACTGGAAAATAGAGATCTATGCACGTGGTGTCTCTCTTAAGGGAAATACTTATTGGTTTGCTACAGACAAGTTTCCAGAAATCAGCAATAATGTTAGACATAGTGTTGATTTCTTGATCTGTTTTAATTTTACATCGGAGAGATTTGGGCCGCGTCTTCCTTTGCCGTTTTTCTCTCTGAATGGAGATACTGTGAGTCTTTCTAGTGTTAGAGAAGAGCAACTTGCTGTGTTATTTCAACGCGGTGACAACTTAAAGATGGAGATTTGGGTTACGACTAAGATTGAACCTGAAGTGGTGTTGTGGAGCAAGTTGTTCTTAGCAGTGGATATGCAACCACTCACTGATTTTCCATTTTTATATACAGATGCAAGTTTCATCATTGACGAAGAGAAGAAAGTTGTTGTAGTGTTTGATAAAGACAAAGATGTAATGAATACCACTCGCAACACAGCTTACATCATTGGAGAGGATGGATATTACAAAGAGGTGGATCTCGGAAAATCTACTGATGAATTTCAATATCCACTTATGTGCTCGTATGTTCCAAGCTCAGCGGAAATCAAGCAAGGAAACAAAAGGAAGAAAAATGTTTAAATTATGTCTTGTTTGATGATATTTAAAATTAATTTGGTCAATTTATTAATTTGTTTCTCTCTTCTTTTATGCGACATGAGAAAAGTTTGTCACTCAGCTTTAACATGTTTCCAACGCTCATGTAACATGTTTGTAAAGACGGGAGACATTTAAACTTTAAAGATGGCATGATCCGGTGTTTCACCTGTGTCCCACAACGTGGGCAGTGGTTATAACATGATGGGTCATGTTTGGTGCTTTTACCGTCCATGTAAGAGCTTAGTTTAGAGTGCAGGGATACTTGGTTCCGTGCATCCTCAGTCGGATTAAGGATACTCCTCGCAACCCAATCTCCCAATTCGACTGTGTAGAGTCCAGATTTCGTGTGTGACAACAAAACTCATTCATTTGGAAGGTTTGGCTAACGGCTAAACTCCTGCCATAGGGTATGTCCTCCGGAGCTATAGATTTGTCTAGAGTGTGCGCCTTGCAATCTGAGGTCTCCTTTAATATTAGGTCATCAAGGGATGTACCGTGGGGGCCATGTGCTCGTGCTAGTTTAGGCGGAACCATTGGGATTCATGGATCTGTCCAACTCTACTATTAACACCGTAGTGGATATGTTGCCGTGCAATGTTGCTTCTTCATCAATAGGATGGGGAATCTTCCAATGTTTTCTTCAACGGAGTGATAGATTCGTAGTATCTACCCTGGAGAACTCTCGCCGATAGAGAATCTGGAAACTGGGGAAGGTGTCATAAGTTTTTTGTTTTTTTTTGGGTGTAAATGTTAAGATAAGGTGTCATAAGTTGCTTAGCCAAAAGAGTTCAGTGGAGAGCTCGTGCATAGCCCGGAAGCCCGCCCCATCACGGACTTTAGAGGTGCACATATTTTCCCATGTGGAGTAGAGCTCCATCAATATCTCGCAATCGCACTTGTAAGTCTTTCGTAGATATCAAGTGGGAGGAGGAAGCTGGACATGACATTATGTAGGAAGAGTTATAGCAACGGCTTTAATTACCAATGCTTTGGTTTAAATTATTCCTTTGATCATTCAAGGCAGAATATTAAGAAATTCAGCTCGATTTTTATGCCCATAATCCAATGGTAACAACCATTATTTTAGGGGAAATACAAAAGAACAACGGAGACGCTCCAGGTCCCCGACCAAAAAGAAACCAAAATATTGCGAGACAAAAATAAGAAAGAAAGACTCCTTTGGCTCAGTAATAAACTGATTATATCGGATCAGACGGTTGAGTCAGAAATATCTCTGGAAGCCTGTTCGTAACTTTCATCTTCCTCTACGAGCGGTCGTGTATCGGCCGCTGGATCATATCCCTGAACGACGAGGACCGACGCGGTGGTGGAAAACTCCGACGACGACAACAAACGTCCAACTGGTCCTAACTCTGGACAATCCGTACTGTTAACCAACGATGCAACAGCTGCATTTCTTCCCACGACAAAGAGATTGCATTTACTCATCGATTTAAGTGTCGCGATGATATCTTCTTTGCTCTCAACGACTCTTTCCTCGTAAGCCAATGACTCATTTCCTCTTGGATCATTCATCAACTCCCTCACAAACTCTTCGTCAGTCTCTTTCTCTGTTTTCTCCTTTTCGTCGTGTTCACTCTTCTCGAATCTCTTCAATGTTCCTCTCGCAGCTACGAATTTGTGAACAGTTAGTGTGATTCCCGGATGCTCCACCATTTTCATCCCGTACGCGAGAGCTTCTCGATCATCGAGGCCTCCAAAGAATGGAACCACGACTTTGTAAGCCACTTCGCTGGCTACAACCTGTGAGGTTCCTCCGAGTCCTCTGTCCACAAGAATCCCGACTGAGCAAGGAGCTCGTTGTAAGACCCGTTGGTTCACTTCATGGAACCCATGTCCGATTGACTCCATCGCTCCGTCCACTCTCTGATGCTTGTGAAACGGAAGCAGTATCATCGCTACTCGTTTCTGATGCGCACTTGTGCATATGTCCTCGTGGATGCTGCTGAGACCAGATATTGCAGTCATGGGTCTAACCGCTACTGCTCGTAGATGCTGGTACGCCTCGAACGCAATCACCATCTGGTCCGTTGATCTCTCGATCTTATTCCAGATTGGGAGACCATTGTTCCGAGCTTTGTGAACCATAGCAATTGCTGATGAACGTTCAGAAAGCTCCATTAGATGCATCGCGTAAACGCAGAGGCGTCCCTTTTTGCCTGTTCCTCTTGATGATTCGATCAGATTGATCAATGTGGGGATGTTGCGGGTACTGTGGAAGCAAGCAAGTATCCGTAGCTCAGAATCATGATCTTTTCTTTGGATGGTTCTGTGCTTGTACGGTGCTCCTTTTCTTGCAGGCTTGTAAATAAGCATCACAATTGGAGTTGTGATGAAGGTTGTGAACAATGCCATTAGAACTAAGATCGCAAACGCTTGATCATTCAGCACCTGCTCACAAAAATCGTTAATTAGATCACTAGGCTTTTAAATATTTTTGTAAGCCTTATAATGGCTTTCAAGAATTTATACCTTCCGGTCCTTGCCAATGTTAAGAACAATGAGCTCTACTAAACCTTTGGTGTTCATGAGGAATCCAAGTGCCATGGCTTCTCTGAAAGGAACCTTGCAGAGCATCGAGGCACCAACGGTTCCTACAATCTTCCCGAAACAAGTGGTGAGTATGACAAGAACTAGAAGTCCCCATGACTGTGCTCCCCTGATCGTTGTTACATCAGTTTTCAGACCGCTAGCCGCAAAATACAGAGGTAGAAGAAGCCCCGAGACAAGATCCTCTATCTTCTCAGTCAAAATCCTGCAAAATGGTCCTTCTTTAGGAGCTACTATACCTACCACAAACGCCCCGAACAGCGCGTGTATACCAATAGTGTCTGTCACAAAGCTTGCTGCTAAAACCACGGTTAGAGTGACACAAACATAGAGTTCCTTCACAGGCTCTCCCTCAGGACAGCGTCTAGCCATATAAGCAAGCAGAGGTTTGATTGCCACAACTGCAAAGATCACGAATCCAGATCCACAGAGAAGAACCCAAACAGATACCAGAGGAGAAGTCCCATCTCCTGAGAGAGCAATAGCAAGCGCAAGGAGTATCCAAGCTGCAACATCGTTTACTCCCGCTGCAGACATTGCAATACGTCCAATGTCAGTTGTTAGAAGCTTAAGCTCAGCTAGGATACGAGCAAGCACAGGGAAGGCAGTGATTGATAAGGCAACACCCATGAAGACAATAAAAGGAAGCTGATTGACTCCTTTGCTTATGGTGGCACTGAGAACAAAAGATGTGCCTACACCCACTACAAAAGGAAGTGAGATCCCAGCTAGGGCTATCAATAGTGATTTCTTTCCGGTTTTTCTGATCGCTGTAAAGTCAAGCTCAAGCCCAACTAGGAACAAGAAAAACAGAAGACCGATGTTGGCGAGTGTGTCTAAAACGGTCAAGCTCTTCTTTGGGAAGATAGTGTCAAGATAGGCCTTGCTTCGTCCTAGTGCAGAAGGTCCAAGCAGTATCCCTCCCTACAGAACCATCCCTTTTAGTCTCTTTTGCTATGTCATTATCATAAGAAAAATAAAATAAAAATACAAAGAAATTAAGAAGGAACTCACAATGATCTCAGCAATGACTCGGGGCTGTTTGAGAGGTTTAAGAAAGTAAGCTAAGAGCCTTGTAAACACAACCACCAAGACGATTTGTAGGATGATCAGAGGGAGCGCGAAATCAAGAGGGCTTTCGTTTTGGAAGGCTCCATTAGAGGTTGCCTTCATCGGACCCGGGCATTGCCCTGTAACATTGGTGCTTGCCATCCTAGTCGAGATCTACTTACGGGTTGATGATTGGTCAAGATACGAGACACTACTTCAACCTTCAATACTGCCTTGGCTGCTTCGTCATTGCATTGCCAAGCGAGGTATGAGACCTGAATGGGAGGAAAAAAAAAAGAAAGCAAGATTTTATTCTGTTCTGTTACTGTTTGTCATAAACAGTATCTATATTCAAGAAGTGAGTATATAAAAGGAAAAAACAGAAAACTAATAATGTCTATAGTTTGCTAATAATAGGTAGAGGAGATTGAAGCGGACATACCAACTCCAGGGTGGGCATATACCTCGCACCTTTTTCTAATTATAGACTGTCAGTTACTTAACTTCCAACCATATGGCGCATCTCTACTTCACAGATATGAACCGCCTTTGCTGCGCCGACGCTTTCGTCTCTGTCTTTGTCCTAAATTTGCAAGCACTTGTACCTGTACCTGTCTCCTAAAAACTGAGCATTTGATGTCTTACCTTCCGAAGCTTTTTAAACATCAACCATTTTGACATATATTATTGTAAATGCATCAGATAGAGTGATAGACGATATAAAATTTACAATCTGTAAACATTCATGAGATGCATAAAGTAGTGAGAACAAATGAACACATTAAAAAGGAAGCAGTTAACACTAATCTAAATTTTAACCCTATCATGGGTTCTATACATTTAAATTTCTCAGAAGGAAAAAGGCTTAAAATTGGAGACTGTGTTCTCTTACTGCAGACCTGCAGTAGCTAAAGCCTCTAAGCGTCCATGGTAAGAGTAACCAGCATGGTCAAAGAACACCTTTGTGATACCTTACTCTACGCAGCATTCTCCTAATCAATTCCAAAGCGATTCAAATTTAATCAGTGTTGGCTCATTCACCCACAAATAAGAAAATCAAGACATGCCCAAGAGAAAAACAAATGAAGCTAAACTTTCTGTAGACAAAATTGAAGTTGAATTCAAGACAGGTGGTAATGAAGAACTTTACAATGGTACTCTAATATAGGTGTAGTCAAGCTCTTCAGAGACAGATTTCTGCTTGGTTTGAAGCTGAGCTTAAAGATTACTGTTTGAGCGAAAGATATAGGACCTTTGGACTCTCAGGTGTAGAAACCGTACTCTAATACCGAGACAATCCTCTGAGAATTGAATGAGCTTCACGCCACCGTCCTTAACAACGACGCTTATGGAATTGAAATCGGCGTCGAGGCTGTTCTTAACGAGCTCCATCGCCGATGAAACTGATGCTGGATTATTTCACTTTCTGATCTTCTAGGCGTTGAATCTCCGAAGGTGCCTCTCTCGGGTGCAATCTTCTCCACCGGAGACTCTTCCTCCTCCATCTCCACCGAAAACCTCGGCGCCAGATACAAATTGGTGTCGCTACACTATATTCTAAGCCTTTAGCCCAATTCTAAAGCCCATAAACATAACGACGTCGTTTTCGTATCACCTCACAGTCATATAAATGAGAGAGTTCAAACTTCAAAAGATGGAAGAACTTATCCAAAAAGCGGAGCTTTACAAGGAAACACCTTGCTCAAGCAAAAGCAGCGGCAACAAGGGAGTTTATTATGGTGATGAATTTTCGGGTTTATTTGATGAGCGTCAACCGCCATGGAATTCACTACAACGTTGACCCATCAATAAACCGTCAAGGTAAACTCGTTAGTCTCAACAATTCCGATCGGGTCGATATATCTAGAATCTATCACTGCCATGGTTTACTGTTATGCATCATTAAAGACTACACTAGGTTCGTGGTTTGGAATCCGTACTTGTGCCAAACGTTGTGGCTCAAACGCACAAGTCCTCACCCTAGATTGGACTGGTATTCCTTGAACAAAATTTGATTTGAAAAAGGAGAAAACAAACCCAAGCTCTTTTGTTCATCAAGAGATTATTACGTAGAGATTTGAGACCTGACCACAAAACGTAAGTATCTTCTAGAGAAAGAGTAAGATATGACTTTCCTTCTAAGCATCATCAGCGGCAGACGGCAGTGCTGTCTAATAAAATAAATTTTCTGTTAAAATTGAAAGTCTGTGAAACTGTAAGTTTGGTGTCAAGATACTATATTATCTGAATCACTCGCTACTTCCAGCAAAGAACAAGATGCTCTAATCAAAGGACCAATTCACGTAGAACCAAATCTTCAACAACCAAAAGAGAAGACAGATTGAAAAACACTACCACTAACTCTGCTAGTCATACGCTAATGCAATGAATGATTCAACAAAGCTTCATTCACAATCCTTCCTCAGCTCTAAGAATGAGCTCCAGAGATCAACTAAACCTTTCTACTCTTCGACGGCGCAGCTCATCTAAAGGGAGATCATTAGAAGAAGAAAGTGCTGGTCCCTGATTCAGTGACCATCCGTCTCCTCTAGCCCGTCCCGAGCCACACATCTCGCAAGCACTTAACCAACCAGAATTGTCATATGTACACGACTGGCATCTCCAGATACCAGGTCCTGCTATCCCAGTCTGGCCTCTTCCCACTCTTCCTCTCCCTGTAATCCTCCTTCTCCGAGACCTAACCATACCGTTCAGAAACCTCAAGGGCCACGTCACCAATCGAGTTACACCTCTAACCGCCATGGTGACTGGATCTGAGCCTGAGTAAGAACCTTTCAGCTTCATATAGATAATACCAGCAAGGATTCCACCCAAATGCCCAAGAAACGAAGCATTCGGTACAAACATCTGCACTAAGATCAGTTCTGCCCAAGCAGCATACTTTGTTGGAACCAGGATACCATACACGCTTGAGTAATCCTCAGCCTGAGAATTAAGAACAACTTTCAAAGCAAAGAGAACACCCGAGAACCCAACGGCGTACTCGTTATAATAAGCTCTGTCATAGTCGAACAAGACAAGAAGCGATTTGGCTAACAGCAATGTGACTCCTTGAGACATACCAATAAGAGTAAAGACCATTGAAGCAAACTCACTGCTTCCCATAGATGTCTCGAGCTTGATACCTTTCCAGAGAAGGGACATCATGTTGTAGACTAAGTGAGGCTCGTTTACATGGTAGAACGCTGATAAAAACAAACGTTTCAAGTCTTTGTGCTGTTCAACAAAGACACATCAAAATAAAATTAAAACGTTAATAACAGAGAATAGAACTAATCAAGAAAAGATCAAATTCGTATACCAAAGCTAATTTCATGTCTCAGATTGAGAATCTTAATTAGGTATCGAAGAACAAAATCCCTAATTCTCCAGATATCGGTACAAATTTTCCAGGAAACTCATAAAGAAATTCGAAATCGGCCAAATTGCAATCAATTTCTCTTCGCGAATGAAGAATTTAAGATTTACCTTGAAGATGAGGTGAGGATTGAACCAGACCTCACTGATGTGAGGAATAACGGGATCGATAAACGCCGGCCTGAGATAGAGGAGAGTATTCGCGGCCAGAAGACTCGCCGTCACCGGCGGTTTCCACGGCAATCTATAGTACTCCGCGACGGCGCTTAGAGCCAGCAACGGCAACATCCCTCCGCCTCCACTTCTTCTCCCTTCACCAAAATTCTCCATTGCTTCGTAATGATTCTTTTCTTCTGATCGATCTTTGAAACTTCTCAAAATCTCTTAAAAGTAATTAAAATCTCGTCTCTTTAACAGTATTTATATAGCAGCTTGGTCTCTACGAAAACAAATTCTCCAGAGACTTCGTTTCACTCGCATAAGAACATGTGGGACCCACCCAAGTTCTTATACCAATTTAGCCTTTTGTTTTTTACTTTATTATGCAAATCTCAAAGACAATGATGCTCAAAGTGAACTGATTGTTATTCGAACAAAAATTGTATACAAACCGAAACCAAAAAAATAAATAAGATAATTATACAACACTGAACAATGGATTCAAGGGTAAATATTTAGTGATTGTCATCAGTTTTAGGCCTTGTGTTAATAAGCATTTTACGAAGCATTGTGTTCTCGTTCGTCAAAGTCGATATCTTCTCTTCAAGTTGATCATTGTTGTTCTGTAACTCATTAGCTCTTGATTCCAAATCACTCACATACACTTTCTTCCTCTCTCTCGCTTGTTGTGCTGATACTCTGTTCCTCAACAATCTGTTATTATATTTCACCATCAATTTCTTTTTTTACCATTTCAATTCCACAAATCGACTGCTAGAAAAAAGAAAAAAGTTAAATAGCCTTTTTACTCATCATTAGTTACCTCTTGAGGCTTCTATACTCTTTATCAACTGGGTTTCGACCACGGCGGCGTTTAGCGGTAGAGACTCCATTTTGAGTCGTGTCAAGCTCCGGATTATTGACTCCATCATCGGCGCTGCTGCTTAGAACACATGTTGATCCAGCTGCTTCCATGTCAGGAACCATCAACAACTCCTCATCACTTTCCTCTGAGAATTATTATATTTACAAAACCAACTTTCTCAAGACCAAATTAAGTTCAAAAATCAAAACTATCGTAGAACACCTACCAGTTTTGTGCTTCTTGTGGGAAGAAGACGAACTCGAGTGCCCATTGGCTCGTTGAAGAGACATCAATATCTTTTTGTCTTTTGAGATTTTGGTAAAGACCAGAGTAGAGAGGTAAGAGGTTCAAGAGAATATTAAACCAAAGGATATTGCTTTTTTCTTTCTTCTTTGGGACCATTCAAAGTCTGAAACCAATCACTCTGCAACTCGTTTTGAACAAAAAATGATAAAAAGTTTTGGTTGGCTTATAAAAGAACACGTAGGTTTATGTAAAACCACAAATGCAACAGTTTCAAAATTTCAATCCAATGGTTGAAACTATCTGTGTTTTCTTTTCCACTATACCCAAATGAACTTATTAAATTGATTTGTTCTGTTTTGCTTTTAAAGTCTTTGTTCATGATTTCTTTTGGAAACCAACCTTTATTGACAGAGCGTGTGGGTTTTAGCCAATAATTACTGTCTAGAACCATACAAACGTCCTTGCAGACAAAGTCAGAGGCACAACTATGAACTATGTGTGTGTGTATCTAGTTATTTGCATGGCGTAATAGGCATGCATAAACTCATCATGTGGTCATATATCTCGTTTTCTATTTCTTGGTACAAAAATAACTCTTTTTAAAAAAGACAGCTAACTAATGTTTTGAAATTTTGATTGTTAACCTACAAAATTTAATACTACTACCAATTCTAAGTTCACTCAATCATTTCGAAGCATTTTTTCATGCTTTGTGACTCCGCCATATAGTTCCCCATGTTTTTTTTTTTACATTTTCCATAATTTCTAAGTTTTACGATATATTTGTAGTATCGGTGAAAACGGACTAAGCAAACTTCTACCATCACGATTACATATTAGATGGTGGATTCATGCCGAAACAAAAGTTGGAAGATTGAATCACTGTCTGCCTAGCATCTAAAACTTTTTTGAACATTGTCATTTATAATCAATATATAATTCTGATAATATGCATGTACACAAACAAGAAGACAAATATATTGCAATGCTACCAAACAGAACTTGAAATTTCAGCTAAAAAGATTTGAAAATGTTCTTTCTTATCGCTCTAACAAGAGACGTAGAGACTTTAGTTTTGAGGGATGTTTATGATTTTATGAAGTCGTCTGAATGGAAGCGGAAAACAACTCATAAACAACGTGAAAATTTTAATAATGAGGTAATACAGAAGAACACATTTAATCCTTCTTGTGTATATGTTCGACTCATACATCTTTCTTGATTCAGGAATAAACATGTGGCAACGACTCATGTTAAAACATATTTCCCGACCCATGATCAACCTTTTGTTTGTGCTCTTTTATTAGTTTTTTTCTTTGTCAAGATATGGATCACAGTACTCATGAGTTTGTGTATCACTCGAAGGGACCACATGCCTTAAAATCGACTAAAATCATTTGATGTAACTTTTATACGAAGTACTATCCAAATAATTAATTTTCATAAGCAGCGGGCATTCATTTTGTTTGTAGGATTATATGATTTGATTATTTGAAGCTGTATACAAACGTGGAGATATGATTGCATCTTTGTCTATGCATGAACATGCCACGTTAATTTAGGAGTACATCTTTACATATCATGATAATAATATCTCTTGCTATAACTTTTTGGAACAGTACTATTGCATGCCTCTCTATATTTCTTCAACAAAACGTTTAAAGTTACGATGGTTAGAACTTCTAACTTAGAAGTAATCGAGCTGCACACTACGGTGATTTGTTTCTTTTCTTGTTCGCAATCGCATGCTCAGTCCTAGCTAATATAGTGAGATCGAGTTTAGGCAATTTTGAATACCTTTTTAAGAAACTTAAAAAAATCAGGAGTTTGATTATCATCTTTGGTTCTTACTTATCTCATCAGCGTCAGCGAAAACATATGACAAAAAAAACTCCTTGGACGTATTGTACAAGAAAAAATAATGTGATTATTTTTTATATAGTTTAATTATTGATTATATTAGTCTTAATAATTATAAGTATAAAGAGGACTAAACATTCATCATTAGACAACTAGACATTATAAAGTTAAATATATCGAAATTCTCACAAGAAGGATCCCTAGAGACCAGACATGCATGTCCAACGACAGATCGTATAATAGCTAATAGGAGTCTTATCGATCCAACATCCAAGGTAGGCTTTATTACAAAGTAACTATTAGAATGCACTTCCCATGATGATTCTAGAATCTAATATTATTATCAATACAGCCAATGAGCATTATGTGATGTAACAATTTATGTCTACTTTTTCATTTTATTAGTTATCATAAATCAATGAATTCTATTTTGATTTTTTTTTTTTTTTAAAAGTAAAAGATTTGGGCTCCTAAGAGAGACAATCCACAAAGCTAAAGAGACATTAACAGGAAACGTATAGTTAAAGAAAAGAACACTGTCTGCTCCACAAAAACAAGATAAACAAAACTCTTCAAGTCTACTTTATTTTTATTGGTTCTGCAATTTTCAATGGTCTGTAACATTAATGTGTCATAAGAGACAATTGAGTTTTCTTATCAACAGAAGGGTCTAAAAAATTGATCACCCAAGTTCATAGTCTATAGACTCAGTTTTTCTTTCAAATATTGATGTGTAAGAAAGTGAAAGTGATGTGATGCTCTGTTTCTGTTTACGGCTAGACAATAAAGCTTTTTTAGCCCTTATCTCTCCTAATTAAAGAATCTGAGCAGTTGAGAAATTAAAATCAAAGCCTTAACATTTCAACTCCAACATCATTTGGACACACTTTCCTTGGATACCTCCCTTTTACGGAAACTTCGAATCTTACATGTAAACAAATCTCAAAACCATGATTTCACATTTTTACTACTAACAAACTACAAAGATCTAAACACATGAATTAAGTATCTAATCGGGTAATTATTACAGTGGTTTTCAAATATCAATGTGTGTTCATATTTAGAAGTTCATAGTTAATGTGGGGAACCTTATGTTTCTAATATTTATTTATATTAAAATAAATGTTGATTAAATCATTTTTAAATTCAAAATCTATGCAATCGAATCACCTACTAGTCTTTTATTGTTTAACTAAACAGAGAGAAATAGAAATAGAGAGAGAAACATGAAGAGCACTCTCAAGAGAGACGAGAAGAAAGCATGTAGCTAGCTCTGCAGCTTCAAGGTCTGTCTCATTAATGGAGGTTTCTAACTCTTGTTCTTCATTTTCTTCATCCTCTGTCGACAGTACTAAGCCTTCTCCTTCTGAATCTTCTGTTAATCTCTCCCTTAGCCTCACTTTTCCTTCTACTTCTCCACAAAGGTCTTGTTCACATCACTACTCTGTTTTTTTTTCCTATGTTCTGTTTTTTGCTCTGTTTTCGTTTGTTGACATTTGTGTTTTGAATCCTTTTTTTTGTAGAGAAGCAAGACAAGATTGGCCACCGATAAAGTCTCGATTAAGAGATACACTAAAGGGTCGTCGCCTTCTTCGTCGTGGTGATGACACTTCTCTCTTTGTTAAGGTTTATATGGAAGGTGTCCCCATTGGAAGAAAACTCGACCTTTGCGCATTCTCAGGCTACGAGAGCCTATTAGAAAATCTTTCTCACATGTTTGATACTTCAATCATCTGTAAGTAATTAACAACACAAAATTCTGTAAAAAACAACATTCAACTAATTTCAAACACTGAAGTATATCCATGCATTGTCTTGGTTCTAACAGGCGGTAACCGAGATAGAAAACATCATGTTTTGACATATGAAGACAAGGATGGAGATTGGATGATGGTCGGGGATATTCCATGGGAGTATGAATCTTATATCTCAACATGTTTCTTAACCTGTAGCTATATTATCTCTAATTTAAATCGATGTTTTTGTTCAGTATGTTTCTTGAAACCGTGAGAAGACTAAAGATCACGAGACCGGAGAGGTATTAAAAAGGCTGTGATTTTCACAGTATTGAGAGGTGAGAGATTTAGGCATTGATGAAGAGACTTGACGCGGGACGGAGCTATTGCTGCATATTGCAACAAAGGCCTCAAAAGAAGTTGGAGAATTGATGCATATATTTATTTATATGACACCATTCAGTGTGTTTTTTTCTTATATATAAATCACAATATCCACGACTTCTTTTTTTTTGTTCTGAATAATAATGCAAAGATGTTTTTTACATGTTTGTAACCGTGTGTTTCTTCGAATGTGTACGTTGTTATGGGCAGCACGAACATGGAATGCAGGAAGAGAATGATTCTCTTTGATCTGCCGGCAGCCGTCTCGTTGATCATCACTAATTTACAAAGTTGATCATCACTAATGAAGAGCCCATTTAAAGCCCAATAAATGACTAAAAGGCTCGTTTAAAGCCCAAATACTTCAAAGTTGACTTGATCAAGTATGGGATTGGATGAGATAATCCTAAATTAGGGGTGAAATGTGTAAGACATTAGAATATAAGGGCGATTCTGAAATAAAACTAAGTTAGCGCCGGAAAAGATCGAGAAATTGAAATTCCCACACACTCTCTCTCGCTGACTCTGTTCAAAGCCAAATTGTGAAATTGGGGTTTAAGGATGAAGGGTTTAGTGTCTACTGGTTGGAAAGGTCCCGTCAAGTTTAGGATGTAAGTTTCGTCTCTTCCTCTACTTCTTCTTCTTCGATTACTTTGTTTTGCAATCGAAATCGAGTTCATGTGATTTGTGTCCTGAATGTGTTTGCTGATGAATCCATCTGTAATCGGAGATAGGCCCACTGCTGAAAACTTGGTACCAATTCGTTTGGACATTCAATTCGAGGGTCAGCGTTATAAAGATGCTTTCACTTGGAACCCTTCAGGTTTCTTTCTTAAAAACCCTACCTTTTTATTCATCTTCTCGTATCTACTGTAGAAGCATTTGTTGTATGTGATTCACTGATTTGGTTTTGGATTAAGACCCGGATAATGAAGTCGTTGTCTTTGCCAAAAGAACTGTTAAAGACTTGAAACTGCCCTCTGCATTTATCACTCAGATTGCCCAATCTATTCAGGTTGTTTCTTAACTAGATCACATTGATCCATCTTAAGTTTTTCTTCTGCTCTGCTTTTGTTGTTACTTCTTTTACTTGTCATAGAGATGATAAATCGAGCATTTAAGATTACCTATTAGTCCATGTTCGACTTATTGTTTCTAACTCTTTAGGTTTTACTCAAGAAGAGGCCTGTTTATAGCATTGTACTATAGGATATATCTCAGGACTGCTTGTGTGATGTATTCTTCCTTCAGTTATGTTCTGTTCTGTTTTTGTAATAGTTTTGTCAGAAAGTTTCTGCTTACATTGGCCATTTTCCTGCTTTATCAGTCTCAGCTCTCAGACTTTCGGGCATATGAAGGACAAGATATGTACACTGGTGAAAAAATCATACCAATTAAGGTTTTATGACCCTAGATATCCTTCATATCCCTATCTCTTTTGTCCATGAGTGATTTGCTGAAACAAGTAGAATTTCTAGAAGCTGATAAGCTATCTTTCTCTTTTTTTGTGCCAGCTTGATCTCCGAGTTAACCATACCCTCATCAAGGATCAGTTCTTGTGGGTGAGAATACTTTGTGATCTTGAACAATTTCAACCATGATTTGAGTACTCTTAGTCTCAATGCAGCTTGATTGCTGGTTTTCAGGACCTAAACAATTTTGAGAGTGATCCTGAGGAATTCGCAAGAACCTTGTGCAAGGATTTAGGTGTTGAAGATCCTGAAGTTGGAGTAAGATAACCACTCAATTTTTTACATATCATTATGTAAACAAATGAACCTCAATTTCAAACCTTTGATACAAGTGGTTTTTGGTTTTTCTTTTTTTTTTTTTTTTCTCTCTGAAGCCTGCTGTTGCCTTTGCAATAAGGGAACAACTTTACGAGGTAAAAACTTTGATTGTAACTTTAAGCTACTCTTTTTGTATTTCTGTATTTATATATTTTCTGTTTTGAACAAGAATGCCAAACTTACTGACTTACCATGTCGTTGTTTCTGCTTGCCAGATTGCAATTCAAAGTGTGGCTTCAGCTAGGGAGAGTCGATTAAGTAAGAAAGGCCGCAGAGGATCTGATCATGGTTCGGCAAGGTCTTTTCACGTTGCTTCTATATGTCTATCCAAGTTACCTTGTACTAATGGTAGAACCTAGCTCAAACAATTCTACAATAACTTTCCATCTTTTGTGTGCAGCAAGGCAAGTGGCTTGTCAATGGACTTAATGAAGTTATTCAGCTTTAAGTCCAGTGTAGTTCGGTAAGTGATTTCCCTGCCCACTTAATGCATATATTTTTCTTTCTTAATTTGTCTTCTTAAGATCTGTTGTACGACTTATAGCTTCTAGATCGTTTATAAGATAAGTTTGAAACAACTTTGCAACACAGCTCTTACACATACACTTGAATGCCACCTCTTCATACATTATCTATCATTTGATAGTAGATGATCCCAATATTTGGAGCTGGTCCTTTCTGAGATTGTTCTAATAGTAATCTCTGGTAATGTTATATCTTGTTATTGAACAAAGAAAACCGAATCACTAGGTTGCAAATCGTTTGATTACAAAATTGACTCTGTGGAGATTGAAGAACCTTTCTTCCTGCATTTCTTATCACTAAATGAGAGTCTTAAAAAAATAAGATTTATTGGCGAACATATTGACTTGTAAGACCAAGCAAAAGCTATAACAGAATCCTCATAACAAACTTTGTCCATGCTCTTGACAGGAAAAGGAAAGACTTGGATGTTTATGAACCAGTTGTGGATCTGCTAACAAGTGAGGAAGTTGATGCCCTTGAAGCCAGGGCAGAGAGGCATGCAAGGTAAAGAGTTTCGTTTACATGTATATTTATTTCTTAGGGCAGGACTCCAAAATTGAAGGATAGTACGAACTCAAAATATGTTGTATCATGCTTCTTAACTAGAGTTTATGATATTAAGACAATCTTTTATGAGACACTTAATCCTCTAAATGCATCCGATACCGGTGTGTATGAGTGCCCTGGCCTAAGTCTGAGATTTTGGTTTAGGAAACTTGGATAGGTGAAACACCAGTGGGTGTGGAATGACGAATCTTTAGATGATATTACCTCAGTGGGACATGTTAGGTTTGCAGAGTTGAGTGAGACCATCTCTTCACTCTTGATTAAGATGTTTCCCAAACTTTGAGCATGTTAAGAATGTTAGAGAGAGAGTATATAGATTTAAAAATATGATGAAAGAAAGAAAGAAAAATGAAGGAGATTCAAAGGACAAGACACGTTGTGAGAATCAAGTGACCCACTTGAGACTTTAATAAGATCTCATCATCAACCATTAACCTCACTGTCGATATACGGTCGTACTTTTTTTCTTCTATTCTCTTCTCTTTGCCCTTTTTTCTCTTTCATTTGCTTGATTCAATGATTGGATCCCTCTCTAAGCTCAAGCTGCTGTCATCTTAATTATTTATTAATATTCGAAAATAAAAATTATTGGGTTTATTATTATTATTGTTTTGTTGGAAGTTTTGTAATTTTGTGTCGAGATTATTGATCAGTTTTTTGTTGTGTACATTTATGAGTTGTACTTGTGCCCTATCCTTTGAAGGGTACATGGATAAGTAAGTTAATGTCTTGAATCGGCAGAGGCTTTATTATTATAGAATCAATTTGATGAATAAAGTTAAATTTGAAGCTGGTTTTAATATTCGGTGTAATACTCGACACCAATATACCAATCAACCTAACTGAAATTGAAGAAAACTATGTTATACTTTGGTTTCAACTTGTATGCTTCTCTAAATGACCAAAATTTTTAAAAAATCCATTTGGTAACATAACTACATTGAAATGGCTATTAGTATATGGCTCATAGGGTTTTAAGTTGAAAAAAAAAAAAAAAAAAAAAAAACTGAATCTAACCGAAATTAAACCAAAAAAAGATGGAGTTGTCCAGCTCCAATCAAGGTTGCAACTTACAAATGTTTGTTTTCCTCTTTGTGGCTACAAAAGGATTTGGGTCTACTTGAGAGACGAAAATGTTTTTTATTGAGTGAGAAGAGTAATGACTAATGAACATAAAGCCTGAACTCTTTATGTCTGTCCGAACTCCGAAGTTAGGAACGTCAACTCAGTCGATAGATTGTGTACAATTGAGACAATATTAGACCGTTACCAAAAGTGCATATTATCACTAACTTTCTAAGTTCTTCTAAGAGAAAAGGATAAAATAACACTATTTACTTATCATTATGTAATTACAATTTGTTAGTATCATTTACTTACTAATATTTGACTAATTAGTTGGTCCAAACAAAAGTATGGTCGGTGGCTTGAGTTATGTACTGTTACATTGGAACACATCATAGGTAATCAACTCAATAATGGATTTTTTTTTTCTTCTGATTGATAATTTAAGACATGTGCAACTTAAGTCAATACCTGACTTTACATTATGGAGAACTAATAACTTGAATTCTCATTCAAATAATGCTAATCATCTCATACAAATGATATGTGAATTCAAGAAAGACATTTTTTTCTCCAAAATACAAAAAAAAAACCCCACCGTGATTTACTCTCAGGGATTATCAAAGGGGAAAATAGTACCATCTAAATTCTCGACGGAAACCCGTCGGAAAAAATATTTTCACTAGACCTTAAAAAAAAGGATAAGGACGAAGAGGAAGAGGAGGAGATGGTTGAGGTGGGCTAATACCACTTTTAAGATATGTACAATAGATTTGATCATAATACCATTTTTGTGTTTGGTTTTGGGATTAACAAGAGAGGTTATTTGAGGAGTTAGATTTGTCAAGAATAGACCACATGACGAGGACGTCGTCGTAACCACAAGCCATGACTTCTCCTTGGAGCTCTTGAACCATTCTCTTCTCGTGCTCTTCCCTTGCTTTCGCATCCATTCTTCCACGACAACCCTTCTTTGGTGATTGTTGCGGTTGGTTGAAGAATGTTGCCGCTTTCTTGAATGGTGTTGCGATTGTTTTCTTCCATGATGCCATTTTTTTCTTTTATGTTTACTCAATTCTTGAAATAAAGTAATTCTTCTTCTTTCAATCAGAGATTCGGATTGAGAGAGCTCGAGAACGACTTGTTATGTGTATTTATACACATACACACACACTCTCTCTCTCTCTCTCTTCCTCTCTCTATCTTATATTATTATAATTGTTATCATTAATAAACTAAAGAGTAATTAGTAATGCTAAAGCAAAGGGGAGAGAAAGAGGCAAGATCCGCGATAGAAGCTTTCAAGGAACATAACTTTGTTTTAACTTTTTTACTTTTTGTTATCCATTTAACATCGTTTAGGCCTCTCCCTACCCTCCCACATGCCTCCCCACGTGATATCTTCCTCTCTTTCTTTTACATTCAATTCGACAAGTTGTGTAATAGCAAACCGGATCAAACCGAACCAAATCAAGATGAAGTCACGAGTGTGCCTTTTCCCACTCCCTCGGTACTGACAATTGAAATCTCCAAGTGCTTACTGCTTACTGCATTTGCTCATTCCCATCCACTTCCTATTTGATGTGCCCATCTCCCTTTTTCATTTAGTACATCAATGTAGATATTCTCTCTTGCTTTCTTAATTTCAGCTCATGATTATCATTCCAATAGCTTATCTAGCAAACCTATAGTCTTATGAGTTATGAGCGAGAGATACTTGATGCATACTTATAACATGTGTGTAAAACGATGTACGGGTCCGGGTTATAAAACTTGGAACTTTTCTTTTGTTGTCTGAGCAGTGCCGGCCCGATCAATTTGGGTGCCCTAAGCAAAATTAAAGCCTATAAATTTTTTTTTTTTTAAATTAGATTTTTACTCTTAAAAAAATGTTGTAGTTGTCTCTAAAAACCCATAATATTTTTAAAAGGCCCTACAAAAATTATTGTATATAAAAAAACTTAACAAATTCTTAGGTAAAAAGGCCCTCAAAATTTTGAGACCCTAATCGGTGGCTTCACTGGCTTCCCCTCTCCGTCGGGCCTGTGTCTGAGATATATATTAGATAAATTGTATTAGAGCGTGCGTACTCATATATATGTAGGTACCAGTTAATAATCATAATCTACAGCAAAAGAAAAACAACTAATTCAAGTTAAGTTAGTTAATCAAATTTGGTGGCTATGAATAAATGTATAAAATTTAAAGGACCAATATGGCTTAGGGGATTGAGGTGGGCACAGATTGGTCAGCAATAGCCCATGTGAATTCCACATGTTTCTCTGCTTCTCTATCTCTTACTCTCTTTTCATACATCTCTTTGTATTTATAAATTTCTCATTTTTTGTTAAATTATTTTCTTACTCATAGTATATATCACAGCGTATAATTATTCAGTTGATCTATTAAAGATAAACTATACAAAACGTCTCTTGAAATAAATTACTAACAATAGTTTTGCATTGCACAAAATTAACTTTCTTCCTCTTTTTTACTTTGCACTCAATCTTTCTTTCTTTGATAATCAAAATTAATCGTGTCCACGCACCAGATTACAAGATTCCTTTTGCATATATACGATACATTTATCTTTAGTTTAAGTAAAAGGGAACCCCATTACTAACTAGTAGTAAAATTAACGTAGCTTAAAAGTAATGCTTTAATTTTGCTGTACTTTGATGTTGATTTTAAAATTAATTAATGCTTTAAAAAGCATCTTCTGCATGAGAGGAACCGTGGCAGTGCATGTATCATCTTCTCCTTACAATAGAATCTGTTGTTTTAATTTAAATCCTTTTTTTATATAAACATACTATAAGATTTGTATATATTTTCCAGAAAATATATACAAATTGACTCTCCTCTTTTTAATTTGTTTATAGCATCCCACATGACAGCCAACGGACTCTGCTCATTGGTGCGTAATTATTTTCTCTATCTCGAAAACATTTTTAATTTGATATAATAATATAGAGAAAAAAGTGAATATAGAAATATTTGTAGAACATGATTTGGTTCGTGGTTCTATGATCACACATTCGGAGGTACCCTCGAGACACGATGAATTTAATCAAATGGTTATAACTTTTTTTGGGTTAATAATTGGTGTCATAACTTATAGATGTGGTTTCTTTCTTCTACTATTATTTTTCTTTATCCTATTTTAAAATTTGTGATGATAATTTAAAGAAAAAACAAGACAAATTCCTGCAATTTACAGAATTCGGATCCTGATGATTATATGGATGTTTTAATATATACCAAAAAAGTAGATTTAAAAACATTCAAATTTTTTTATAGATGTAAAATTGTAAAATTTTATATTTTAAACTGTAAAAAGAATATGCATGATTAGTTATATTTTGGATTACTGTACTGAACCAACCAATCTCCTAATATACTTAAATTTCTAGTTTTTTTCTTCTATAACTTAAACTTAAGAATTTATGTTTGAAGAAAGATACAAAACATTGAATAGTCACACATATAAACCAAATTTGAACTTGTTGTATTCCTAATGCAGCGGATGGACCGTTCTAATTTTGACCGGATGGGTATTAGTGATATTTTCTGAAAAACATTTAGGTCGGTGAGATTCAATAATACTGTTACAAGATTGTAACGTTTTAGAAAACAAGAAATTAAGATGGAAAAATCAAAAGTAGAAAAATGAGAGCTAAATTGTTTGTTTCTTTGTAAGTTGACTGGTGAAAACAGAGTGGCGGTTTGGTCGGTCCGTAAATTAGGTGACTTTGTACGAATTTTTCCGGTGGCTCCCCAACTCTGACTTCCTCTTTCCCCTTTTTCTCTCCTTCACACTTTCCATTTTTTCCTTTGAAATAATATATTTCTGTAACGTTTGTTTTTTCAGTTTTTAAAAAGATTTAACTAAGCTTTGACTAATGACTTTATTTTCGCGTTTTTTGCAAAACAATAAAGGTATATATTCCTGAGTTTTTTTTTTGTAATAATATATTCTATGGTTGTTGGTGATTCTTACTGTACTTGAAGACTTGAGGTAAAGTAGGCCATCGTACTTGTTACGCCGACAAATAAATAAGGGATAATAAACTAATAAAGGTTTTCAAACCGGCAAAATAAAGCCCATGGGCTTTACAACTATTTACAGATTTAGCCAGGCCTATGGATTTCTACTTAATTTAAAAACAGTTCTAGGCTTCTAGCATCTTCTTCTTTTTCATTTTTTTTCCTTAAGAAATGTGGTTGTTTTCTCTTTTATGAAATTGGAAGGGTAAACAAACTCGAAAATGAAACAAAAAATTGTACATAGGGTAGGAGAGTTTTATGTTTTGGTTACAATTTCTCTCATTTTGTGTGTATAACAACCTCTCTCTCTTTGTCATCATATAAGGAACTTTAGATAAATTTGAAGTAATGATAAATGTAATGATATATGATGAAATTTAAAGTAAAAATCAAGTAACTCTAAAAATGAAAATATGTAAGTGAAAATAACTAGAATATAATTTTTCATTTTAAAGACGGTGGAAGTCAAAGCCTTCTAAATCTCATATATATCAACAAAGAGAAACTAAAACATAATTCTAACAAACACAGGGTGTGTAGTTAAGTTATTATTTTTACCATGAACTTACACAAGATAAAAAAAAAAAACATGAAGAGCGACGGAAAACAAAACAAAACAAAAAGACAAGAAGAGCATGGAAAACAATTCAAGGAGAGAGGGTTTTGTAGTTAGGATCAGAAACTCGGTTCTCGTAGAACCTTGCGATAAAAGAAGTGGCTCTTCTATCGACCCCTGGCTCAGCGATCCAAAGCCGACCATCTTCATCACTGGTCATGATTCTTGACCTTATGATCACTCCTTCGTCGCTCCAATTATCTCCACTGTTCGAACAGCACGGTAACAAAGCTCTTATCACTGAAAATGTTGACGTTTTCTTGCTCTTACCCATCTCGATTTATCTTATACATACAACCACTCTTCGAACATAAGCATACATCTAAGTGCACATATTTATAGGAAGGTAGAAAGAGAGAATATAGGAAGTAGCTACGAAATGGTGGTATACAAATACAACCTCTCGTGTATATAATATGCTCTTAATTAGCACGTACGTACACTGTACACATTCGTATATCTAACATATAATATGATCTATACGAGGTTTAAAATAACATTATTCTTTAAAGAAAATGCATCGGAGACCGACCGATGGATGCATGGCTGTAAAAGTGAAGAACTTCTTTTGAGACGAGAATAAATTCTCATATCCTTTGCATGTATGTGGAATGGAGGATTCAATCATATAGTTTAATTACTTTACAAGTATAAATAAATTATAGTAGTTAAAGTATGATAGTCTGCATCATATATTTAGTCCTAAAATAATCATTCCTATGTCTATTCTACCAAACTATATTCTTCAATATTAAGCTTTTGTCTTTTTATATTTGCTTATGCAAAATTGCAAATGATGGATTTGCAATTTAACCAATATTATTGATCATTCTACAAATGTAACTTTCAATGATATATTTTGTCATTTTTGTTGTTGTCGACCATATGCAATATGGATTTATAACCGGATGGTACCACATTGACGACACAACACTAACAAAAATTCTAAGCTAAATCATGGGATCACTTGTAGCCTATGTTGCATGGAAACGGGAGCGGGTACGCGGAAGCGGAATCGTTTAGAAGCGCTGAAGCGATATTTTAGAAAATTTTACGGAAGCGGTACGCGATGGAAGCGTATAGTATATATAAAGAATATATATATATATATATGTATATATATATAACTAAATATTAAACATTATATCATATTACAAGTTATATTAACCCCACAAATCTAATAAATAAATTTTAAAAAGAGAAATTGTTAAAAATGCCCCTTTTTCAATACCTCTTTTCAAAAATGCCCCCTTTGAGAGTCCATTTTTAAGTTTGCCCTCTTTTAATTTTTAATGACCATTTTACCCTTATTTGGAACAAAATTAGGTCCACAAAATACAAAATATTTTTTGGCAGGAAAAGTGATCCCGCAATTTTCCCGCCAAAACACTTGTAAAAACCTTTAAAATACCTTGTAAAATTTTCCCGTAAAAAATTTTCCCGCCAAAAAACTTTTTTTGCGGGAAAAGTGATTACGCAATTTTTTGGCGAAATTTTTTTGACGGGAAACTTTTTGGCGGGAAAAATTTACAAGGTATTTTAAAGGTTTTACGGAGTATTTACAAGTGTTTTGTAAGGTTTTACAATGTATTTTAAAAGGTTTTACAAGGTACTTATAAGGTTTTATAAGGTATTTATAACTTGTAAAACCTTATAAAAAACTTGTAAAACCTTATAACTTGTAAAACCTTATAAAATAGCTTGTAAAATCTTATAATATCTTATAAATACGTTGTAAAACCTTTTAAAATACATTGTAAAACCTTATAAATACCCTGTAAAAAACCTTTAAAATACCTTGTAAATTTTTCCTACCAAAAATTTAACGCCAAAAATTTGCGGAATCACTTTTCCCGCAAAAAACTTTTTTTGGCGGGAAAATTTTTTGGCGGGAAAAAATTTTACAAGGTATTTTAAAGGTTTTACAAGTTTTTACAAGTGTTTTGGCGGGAAAAATTGCGGGATCACTTTTCCCGCCAAAAAATATTTTGTATTTTGTGGACCTAATTTTGTTATATTTCCTTATATATTTGTGATATCTTTTATTAAATGAAGGGTAATTTAGTCATTTTGTACATAAAAAAGGGTATTTTTAAAAATGTACAGCCAAGGGGGCATTTTTGAAAAAGGGTATTGAAAAAGGGGCATTTTTGTGAGTCTCCCTTTTAAAAACTAAATTTAAAAATTAAACCAATTTTTACAACAAACAAAATCAAATAATTCAAGAAAAAAATTATAACACTATATTCATTCTTTTTTTAAATAACATCAAACAAAATCGTTTCAAATTATGTATATTATAGGTAAAAATATTATCAAACTCAAGTCTCTCGAAATTAATCTAAATTAATTAATCATTTATAATATCTCTCACATATTAGATTCATGTCATTGCTATTTTCTAAACATGATTTTGTTAAAAATAAAATACAAAGATTAGTATGCAAAATTTTTAGTTTGAGTTTGTTTGTATAAAGATAATAATTTCATGTTTTATTTGTAAAATTGAATTTATAAAATGGAAGCGCAAGCTTCCAAACCGGAATCGTAAGCTTCCAACGAGCTTCCAAAGTGGAATTTTTGGAAACGCGATGGAAGCGAGATTCCGAAAGCTTCCAAGAGCTTCCGATTCCGACTAAGATTCCGAAGCGGGAAACGGACCTCCGACGAAGATTCCGTGCTTCCTTCTTGTTACGGGACGTTTATTTTTTGGTAAAAGGCATGTTACTTAACGTATAAACAAAAGAAAAACAACTTATGTAAAATTAATAACTATACTATACTTAGAACATAATAACATCCCTTTTCAAGTGAAATATTTCATCCACCTGTTCAAAGAGTGTAAAATGTTTAAATAAATAAAAAAGAATTGGAAAAACAGGAAATACAGTAAGGAAAATAATTTGTCTTATCTTCTTTTTCTTCTGCGACCAGATGTTACAACACCTTCCTGAACCAAACTATAGGAACATAATTGAACATAGTTGAGTAGCATAAGAAGTCTGCCGCTCCTCCAAGAGATATTTGTCTGAACTCAAACTCTTGTTTTCCAATAATGTATACTATGTTTTTGGTGACATTCAAGTCGTCATCACAAAAAACAGCAAGTACTATCTTCTCATCTTTGATGAAGAAACTTACGTAAAGACCAAAGACAATACGGAATGTTGTATATACCAAGTTTTAAGAAGCTGCTCCACCACACAGCTGTGGTCTCGATCTTAGTACTCACCCATATCTCCATCTCTAGTGTATCAAAGCTCCAATGTAACACCGAAAGCTGTTCTTCTCTAACAACTGATAGAGCTATAGTATCACCGGGATGATTCTGAAACGGAAGACTCGGACGTTGATATCTTTCTGTTGTAAAGTCAAAACTTAGTAGTAAAACGTCATTGCCTTTTGTGGTGGAATTTTCAGATAAAGCAAGCCAGTAATTAAGTATTTCCCTTGAAAGACACGCCGCCACGAGATAATATGCCCCAATGAGCATTCCATGAATCAAGAAGCCTCCATGAATCAGAGCTAAACTTATAGATTTCCGAGTAATAATTATGTAACTGCCTCAAAATTTTGTAGTTATGGCACAATTTATTGCTTTCGTATCCTAGAACATACATATACAATCTCGTAACGCATTCTAGGGTTAATCCACCTGGTTTGACAAGTACAAGGATTCCATAGACAATGAGGGTTTTAGCCTTTCACGCTTGCCCAAAACTTAAGGTTATGTCGTTAACAATACACTTATTTGCGATGACTAATATATATGAGCAAGAATCTTCCGCTAGCTTGAACAAGTCTTTCCAATTCCTATGAGGTTTATATTTTCTAATTCTTGTTAAATTTTAATAAATGGAAACTAATTTGCAAAAGAAAATATTTATGGAGGTGTTGGGGATTCCTAATGCGTCAGCGCAGTTAAATTTCTCGATTCGAGTACAAGATTACATCCGTAAAATATTTATATATAATGTAGAATGTTTCTGTTGTAGTTAATTAGTTACCAGCTAATTAAGGTTTTACATTGTGATGATATTTTCACCAACCTAATTATATCTCTCTATACTCTTTTGCGTTTGTCTCTTCAGCTTTGGTATTTACATACACACACATATTTATGAAAAAAAACCATAGCAGGATTGATCTTATGATGTGAAAGTGACTAAACCACACATAAACAAAGGATTTTTGAGTAAGATCACCAAAACCTAGTTTCAAAAGCAAAAGAGGATTCAAGAGATAAACAAAGGAAGTTCAGCTACTCGGTTTATTAACCAAACAGGGACAACCCTAGTGATCTAGTTAAATTGACTAATCACCTTTTTCTTTTGCCTCCAGGATTCACTTTACCTTGCTGAATTTGAACCAGACTTGGTGCATAACTGACGAGACGTGGCCAATAGGAAAACGATCCCTCTGTAATAGCATTATAAACTTCTTTGTGTATATCCTCTCCGACAATGTAAAATCTGGTCATGTTTTGATCACTGTCTGTATCACAAAACACAACCATTTTTTTCTCCTCGTCCACCAAGAAACTCATCACATTCGTCATCCTTGGTACCATAAATTTACAGGAATCCACTACCAAGAAGTCGCTCCACGACAAGTCTTTGGCCTCATCGATTTTAGTATTGGTCACCCATATCTTCATCACTGATGTATCAGTAAGCTCATCAAACCTCTCATATAACAACGCAAGTTTCTCTTCTCTAACAGCCGATAAAACCCCAGTCTCCACAACATCATCAACATAACCACCACTCTGATAAGGAAGAGAGAGACGTCCAAATTTCTCTGTTGTGAAATCAAACCTGAGTATGAATTGGCGGCCTTTAGTATCTGAAGCAAACCAGTAAATATTTCCCTTCAATGTCACGCCCTTAGATATAAAGGAACAATTAGGAGAGTTGTCATAAAAACGCCTCCATGAATCAGAGTTAAAATCATAGATTTCATACTCAAAACCAAAGTCAATGTAGAAGTGGTAACACCTCAAGATTTTGTAGCCATAGCAAGATTTGCTGTTGTCGTATCCTAAAACAAACTTATGGTACATTGCAAAACGTGTGCTGGATTTGTATGGGATCCACCTGGTTTCACCAGTATAAGGGTTCCAAACCACAAGTCTACTGTCATTGGTGGTGCACAATAATAAACCGTTGCACTCACAGATTTCCAATATTTTGACATTTGCAGAATCCTTGAGACTGTTAAACATGCCTGTCATTTCAATGGGTGGATCAACGCTGCTGTGGATTCCAGAGAGATTGACACTAACTGAATAAACCCTGAAACCTATCAGTGAGAGCACCTCCCTTTCCGCTCTACCCACGTGCTTCTTGAGGAATTCCGGATCTTTGAATAAAGTGTACCACCGTTTGCAAGTAGGTTTCAACTTTTGTAGAGATCTGGCAGGAACTCTTGAGAGTATTTCCGATTCTAAATCTCGTGGAAGATTTGTAAACACCATTGTTTGTTTGTCTTGTGGTTTCTGACCTGATTTTACATAGAAAGTAAGCAACAATATGTTAGATATTAATTAATAAGGGCTTTAGGTAAACTTCTAGCTTATAGAAGAATTTAAGGACAGCTCATGCAAGATTAAGGAAGAAAACATGAGATGAACAGAGATAAAGAGCTGCTAGAATATAATTCTCAACAACTCATAACTTAGTAAATGACAAGGAAGAACACTAATCTCTATGATGATGATATTGATCCAACTAAAATCTCAGCAAAGCAAGATTACATGAATAGAATACCCAGAAGCATTATGCCTAGTTCAATAAAGAAGCTAAGAAATACTTTAGGTTTCATTGTTCCAAAGTCCAACGTCTCGCTCCTTGAGCTCATTTTCCACCACTTCTTTTTCTCAATTTCCATGAAGCACCCAAGCAGAGAAACAACGATTAAAAACTCATTATCACAACTGTGGAGGAAGTCAAAATAGTCGCAAAATTGAACAAACTACGAAACCAATCTAACCGATAATTATCTAATCCAAGCATTGGAGATCAGTTAAACCCTAGAAAACATGAAATTTAGAACAACCACAGAATAAGGAATCAAAAACAGAAAAATAGGAACAGTTAGATAGAAGAAGAGCTTACACAAACGAACAAGAGTAAGGATCAGGCGGAGAAAAAGTGGGGATCAGTGTCTTCACCGGAGAAACAAAGCAATGAAGATATATATTTAGGTCGAAGGTTGAGGGAGATTGGCTGATACGTATCTTCATTACGTGATATAATTTTGATAGGCAAGTAGTTCCGCTGGTTTCGGTCAACCGCGTCGGTTGGACCGAAATTATTTTTACCGGTTTAACAAAAAAAAATTCGTTGCATTCGAGTTTTCAATATTCTCAAGTTTTCGTATTTGTAAAAAAAACTGTACTTGATTTTTTTGCTTTTATCGACTTATGCTTTCCCAACCTGACTATGTTTCTTAATCTTCAATGTTTTGATGGATATACGTATCCTACTACATATAATCATATAGATCCTAAAATTTTCATATGTCAACAAAAGTTTTAAAATTGCGGAGAAACTTTCATCCGTTTCATAGACTTATCTTTGACCAAAGCAGTAAGATTTATGTGAAAATATGTTTTGTATTTGAAATTTTACAAAAAAGATTATCTTAACAAGTATGTTAAGTTATTATTTTATTTTTTCTAAAACATATTTTAGATGTGCTCAACAACTAAACAACATTTGAGTAAAGAAGATGACCTCTCAATCTCGGTTTAATTTTAGACCCAAAAGATGCCATCATTATCTCATGTCATATCTACATGTTCACATTACTGAACACACAACAAATGAGTAAAACTATTCAGAATCGAATTTTGGGCAAGTTGAACCATGATATAGGCTCCGATTGTTTGTTTTCGTTTACGTTTCCATGTTATAAAAATTCTTACTATTATAACATGGATACAAATTAAAAAGGCAAAGACAGTAAGTACATTTAGGTGTCTTAATCACCTTTGCTTCAAATGAAAAAAAAGAAGCATATAACTTATCTCTGATTTCAATTGAAACTCAATGATCCTTATAAACCACGGGTGAGATACCAAAAGATAAAATGAAAAGCTGATCTCAGAGCCGAATTATGACAAACGAAACAAAAGAAATTACATTGCCCTGATTTAAACCAATCTTGGTACATAACCAAAGACAGTTAGGCAACATGTTATGCCTTCAAAATCTACAAAATAAAAACCGGAAGATACTTTGTATTCATCTTCTCCAATAATGTATACCTTGTTATCTCTGTCACAACACACGGCAACTTTCTTCTCCTCGTAGATGAAGAAACTCATTCGACACGAAAACATAGGGAGATGAGGTTCTAAATCCACTATTAAGAACTTTCTCCATGACACAAATGTTGTATCAATCTCTTTGGTCATCCATATTTCCACCTTTAGTGTCTCGCTACTCTGATATAACAACGAAAGATGTTCTTCTCTAAAAACCGAGAGAGCCATGGTATCAAAACAATCTGCTTCCTGATGAAAGGGAACACACAAATGTTGAAATCTCTCTGTTGAAAAATCAAAACTAAGTATAGAGTAGTCGTTAACTCCTCTTCGATTAGACACGTACACCCAATAAGCATTTCCCTTCAATGACACGCCATAAGATTTTAAGCAACCTTCGGGAGTGATGACATCAAGATGCTTCCATGAATTAGAGCTAAAATCATATAGTTTCAATTCTAAGTCGCCTAGGGGAGTGACACCAAGATTTCTCCTCCATGAATTAGAGCTAGAATCATTGATTTTCAATTCTAAGTCGCCTTCGGGAGTGACATCAAGATCCTTCCATGCATTCTTGATAGTTTCCAATTCTTGTTCGTATAAATCCGGAAAACTCAAGATTTTGTAGCTATGGCACACGTCCCTGTTGTCGTATCCGAGAACATAGGCCTCATCTATCCTACCACGATTTTGCAGTTGCAACCATCTGGTTTGCCCCGAAAACGGGTTCCAAACCACTAATCGGTTTTCCTTGGTGGTGCATAGCAATAAACCATCACAGTGAAATGCTTGAGATATAATGGCTTCTGAAGCTAAACTCCCCTTCAAACAAGGGAGCGACGTCCATGTTAATTCCATGGAGATTGGAGCTCACTGAATAAACCCTAAAATTCATTAGCATAAGAGCATGGTACTGCCTTGCTGATTTAGCAAAATGTTTTTTGATGAATCCTTGATCTTTGAGTAAAGCGTACAATCTTTTGCAAGTAGATCGTAATCTTCTTAGAGATGTCACCGGAACCTTAGAAAAAATCTCCTCTATCACATCTTGTGGAAGATCGAAGATTAACTTTGTTTCTCTTACGATTTCTGACCTCATCTTACATAGGAGACAGCGACAGTAAGGTAGATCTTAGTTAGGGTTTTAACCTTCATGCAAGCCCACTCTTTTTTGTTTTCCCACCAGAAGACGGATTTCATTGGTTTCATAGGTGAAATTTGTAAAACACAATTAAAAATCTTTTAAAACATGACAGATAAGATTTTCTTACCAATACCAAAAGATTACATAGCAATAAATAATTATGCCTTTTTTTTGTTCAAATAAATAATTAATCTTGTATTTTTTTTTTAATTTCAGAAAGTATAATTTCTGCATATACACACTTTACTTTTTTTCTTCTTCTTTTCTTAATTTAAGACTATTGTAAATTTTTCCTTTTTATTCTATGGTTAGTTGCCTAGCTAAAATAAGTAGATTTGTTTTGTAGTTTACCTTTTATGACTTATAATTAAAATTTGATATTGTTAAAACGTGTCATAATCTGATTAAACTTACACATGTTTAGATATCATTGTGTAGATTGATAAATCAGAAATCTAAAATTTTATCTCAACTTGGAATTTTAGATTAAAAATTACGATTTTATTGTTGTTAATGTATTATTTATGGAATAAAATAGAATTAATTAGATTAAAAAAAGGTAATGTGGTTTTTAATCTAATCTAAAACAACCTTATATATCATACTAGTGTAATGGCCCTTGCTTTGCACGGCCTAAATACCAAACTTTAGAGATGGTAAGAACTATAATGTAATAACACAACAGAGCTCTATATCAGTCTCATCACTTATCCTTTTTCTAAGTAAATCTTAACATAGATCATGAAATCACAGATTTTAATGAGACTTTAGAAAGACCCACAAAATTGTACCTTATCATCCACAAGAAGAAAATTCATTCCTGTGAATTTCTCTGGTTTATGTTTTTGTGGAAATCCCCAAAGACAAACACTTAGACCATCAGCAGTGGCAAATGTGTTTGTGTGAGTGTAAGTGTTTTTTTAGTATTATAATTTAAAGCAAAAGAGAAAAGAGAGAGAGAAATAAAGAAAGAGAGAGAGAGAGAGAAAGTGTTGCATCCGAATGCAACTTTGCACCCGAGTTCCGCTTCTTACACAACTTTTCCAATATTTCACAATTAAAAAATACACACACCCGACACAAACTTGTACCGTTGTGTTTGCTCTTATCACCTTGATTTTTCCAAAGATTAATTACTAGAGTTATTTGAGAGATATGTGTAATATTGAGCGGCATAATTGGAGATTGGAATTTGGAATATGAACCTGCAAATAAAAAGTTGTTTTTGTTAAATAGAGAAAATTTTATGAGCAGAGAAACTTATGAAATTTGGATAAGAGAATAGACCATGTGGATCAGTGGGTTAACACAGTAATGCCAAAAGTCTAAAATTTGCAGACACAATAACATCAAATCACTAGAGAGAAGATAATTGAACTATAACGAAATTTATAAACTTGAAAAATCCGAAAACTTGCATAGAGGAAGAGACATGTGATTGATGATGAACCCTAAAAGTAAATCATGTAACACCATCATACCCTATAGATGAATTGGAATCCAAGAAGGAAATGATGGGAAGAGGGGAGGCAAAGTAAGAGGCGGAAGAAATAATGTTTTTTTCCAATTGTTGAAGAGGAAAAGTGATAAAGTGGGGAATATAGATCGTGGAAAAAAGCGAGCAGTTGAATTTTTTTTTTGTCGTAATTTTTTTTTTAATTTAATAAGTTTTTTTTTTAAATTTAATAATAAGGTTTTTTCTGTTACAATCCTGAAAGGTGAAAAAATGAGACTTATGACAAGTGTCAAAAGGAGAATGTGGCAGTTTTTTGTGAATTGACTCGTGACTTATCAGATATAGATAGATTCTCTCCTGCAGTTTCTTGTCAAATTAGGGTTTTGTTCTGCTCGATTACTGAGGTTTGCTGCTCTCAAAATATCTGATCAGTGCTAAGTAAATTTCAAATCAAAGTGTTTACTCAGGGCAGGACTACATCAATCAGAGAAATCATGTTTGCAGTTGAAAATATTTCTATGGAAGTCGAACCGGCGATCAACGAGTCGTCATCGTCACTGTCGTCATCTGGTAGTAGCTGCGGTCACTGGTATGTTCGTTACGGAGTCTGCATCGCCTGTAAATCAACGGTAAATAAACGCCAAGGCCGAGCATTCGATTATCTCGTCCAAGGTTTGCAGCTAAGCCACGAAGCAGCAGCGTTCACGAAGCGCTTTACAACGGAATTCTATTGTCTCAATGAGAAGAAGCTTCACCTTGTCCTTGACTTGGACCACACGCTTCTCCACTCTATTAGGGTTTCAATTCTCTCAGAAACAGAGAGGTATCTAATCGAAGAAGCGTGTTCAACTACAAGGGAAGATCTGTGGAAGTTGGACATCGATTACTTGACAAAGCTACGCCCTTTTGTTCACGAGTTTTTGAAGGAAGCCAACGAAATGTTCACAATGTATGTTTATACAATGGGTACTAGAGTATACGCCGAATCATTGTTGAAGCTGATTGATCCCAAGAGAATTTATTTTGGGGATCGAGTGATAACAAGAGACGAGAGTCCTTATGTGAAGACACTTGATTTGGTTTTGGCTGATGAGCGTGGAGTGGTCATTGTGGATGATACGCGTGATGTTTGGACCCATCACAAGAGTAACCTAGTAGAGATTAACGAGTACCACTATTTCAGAGTCAATGGCCCAGAAGAGTCAAAGTCTTACACGGAGGAGAAGAGAGACGAGAGTAAAAACAGTGGTGGATTGGCCAATGTTCTGAAATTACTTAAGGAAGTTCACTATGGATTCTTCAGAGTCAAGGAAGAGTTAGAGTCACAAGACGTGAGGTTTATGCTACAAGAAATAGATTTCAAACTTCTCACAAAAGACGCCTGATGTGCGTGGAGTGGTCATTGTGGATGATACACGTGATGTTTGGTACCATCACAAGTGTAACTTAGTGGAGATTAGCAAGTTCAACTATTTCAGAGTCAATGGCCAACGAGAGTAAAAGTATTACTCGGAGGAGAAGAGAGGTGGACTGGCCAATGTGGATTCTTCAGAGTCGAGGAAGAGTTAAGACTCATAGGACATGAGTTTGCTGCTGCAAGAAATAGACTTCAAAGTTGCCAAAGAAGATCCAGTTGTTTCTGCTTCTGTCTTTTCTAATGGGATTCATTATGTAGAAACTTCATTTTTTTGTTTTCTGCAAGAAACAGGGTATGATTTATGAAGGTTCATGTATTGATGTTTAGTTTCTCTAATATATGGTCAATGCAATATTATACACTCTATAAGCGTCCTGTCTAAACTTATGCCCAAATCACAGTGTTCCATCGGAGATTTAAGAGAATTTCTGTTTTTTATTTGGATTTCACAGAATGCTGCTCTTATTTAGATGTTGAGGTCACTGTAAGAAAAGCAATGTAATAAAGCATCACCTTTATTTTACATATGATATAAGTACCATTAGTCTTCAATGTATCGTTGGTCTGTGTTACTTATGAAACAACATGAACATATATATATATATATTTTTTTTGGTAAAAGAACATGAACATATATGTTTGTGTTTAGATAGACAATGTCAAACCTTTAAGAACAGAGGCTGAGAGCTGCTCTGCAGGACAGGGAGATCAATCATTTGTATGTGTACTTGTGGTCAAATGGTTTCATTATATAAGATTCTGCTTACGTGATGATACTCTCTCCAAGATATGAACGTGGCTAAAAGCAGAACAATGTATCTGAGTAAAGATCACTAGATAACACATCCAAATTCAAAAGCAAAAGAAGAGGGACAAGAAAAGCTTAATCCAGTTACTCTGTTTATCAACTAAATAGAAACAAACAACACCTTGAATAATTGACTAATCTTAGCTCAAAGAAACATCACCAAAACCAGAAGAAAGAAAGAAACTAAGTAATTCGTTTAACTAACCTCTTCTTGTTTCCCTTTCTTTTGTCTTTTGGGTGTATTTTCGTGAATGTGAACCAAGCTTGGAAGATAACTGAGGAGAAGTGGCCAATTGAAATGGGATCCCTTTATAGTCTCTTTATAAACTTCTTTATATGTAGTCTCTCCAACAATGTAGACTCTGGTCTTATCTTCATCATCCATGTCTCTATCACAACACAATGCCACTTTATTCTCCTCGTCCAACAAGAAGCTTGACACATTATTCACACTTGGTAAACTAAATCTATCATAATCCACTGTTAAGACGAAGTTGCTCCACGTCAAGTCTTTGGCCTCATCAATCTTATTGGTGACCCATATCCTCATCTCATTTGACAACGCTTGAATATTCTGCTGTAACACCGCAAGTTTTTCTTCCCTAACAACTGATAGAACCGCAGTTTCTTCAGAATCAAAACTTTGATACGGAAGAGGGAGACGCTCAAATCTCTCTGTCTTGAAATCAAAATACAGCATGAAAAATCCTGTTTCTTGTTCTCCAGCAACAAAGTAAGTATTTCCTTTCAAAGACATGCCATTGCAGAATAAGCCCCAGTTATGAGTGCAGTCATCAAGAACCCTCCATGAATCAGAGCTAAAGTCATAGATCTCAAATTCACCAACACAAACATTCTGGTCGTTGTAATAAAAGCAATACCTCAAGATTTTGTGGCTATGGTAAGAAGACTTGCTGTTTACGTATCCAAGACAATACAAATCCTCACTCCGGTAACAATCACTGCGTTTGATCCACCTGGTTTGACCGGTACGTGGGTTCCAAACAACGAGTCTAGTGTTTTCCTTAGTGGAGCATAATATTAAACCGTCACAGTGAAAGATTTTGGTTATTTTCAAATCTTCTGATATCTTTAGGTTAGTTTACCTGTAAACTCGAGAGATGGGTCACCGCTGTTGTGAATTCCATGGAGATCGTCGGTAATTGAATAAACGCCGAAATTACTATGTAACATCAACCTCCTTTCTGATTTACCAAAGTTCTTCTTCACGAATCTCGGATCTCTGAATAAAGCGTACCATCGTTTGCATGTAGTTTGCAACTTTGCTAGAGACTTGGTCGGAACCCTAGAGAGTATTTCCGATTCTAGTTCGTGTGGAAGATCAGAAATCATCATCTTCTTTCTCATTGTTACTGATCTGGTAGCTCGAGGAAGAAAGCGTATGGGAGAATCAATGTGTATAAAATTAGGGCATTGGTTACAAATCCGACATTTATTTACAAAAAGCCCATTTGCTAGTCCATTAGCTTCAGAAATGTGTTTGATTTGAAGTCTCTCTTCTTTCAACTAGAGTCGACATTCTGTTAATCGGTTTGGATTATTCGAAATTAGGGTTTTTGGATTTCAGAAAATAAATCCATTCGAAATAGAATTTTTGTTTCTGTTTGAGAGTTTTTTATGATCTAGAAAATAGCTAATTAATATAATAATGAAAAATAAAGAATTAACTGATTTTAGTTAAGATAGTAGAATTTAATATAACTATTTTCTATATATAATATTGAAAATTTTATTTATTTTAAATAATTTTGGTTAATTTAGTATAAGAAGGTTTTATTCCATTCAGATTGTTTTACAATTGGGTTCGAATTCGAGAAGGCAATGTACGTGGTCTGCAAGACTTCAATAGAGTAGTTGGAAATATAGGGAGGTCAGGAGATCAATCATCTGTATGTATAGTTGTGGTTAAATGGTTTCATTGAATAAGATTCTGCTTACGTACGTGATGATATTCTCTCCAAGACCCATCGTCATTTGATGTGATATAAGCAGAACATTAATGTATTTGTGTAAAGATCAATAAACCAACCATCCAATTTCAAAAGCAAAAGAAGGACAAGAAAAACTTCATCCAGTTACTCTGTGTTTCTAAACTAAAAAGAAAATCATTGACTAATCTCTTTCGAAGAAACATCACCCAAACTAGAAGAAAGAAAGAAATAAACTAGGTTATTCATTCGACTAACCTCCTTTGATTTCATTTTCTTCTGCCTTTTTGGGTAAAACAAAAAACAAAAAACGAAAGAAAGAAAGAAACTAGGAAATTCATTCCACTAACATCCTTTTGATTTCATTTTCTTCTGCCTTTTTGGATATATTTTTCTGAATGTTAACCAAGCTTGGAACATAACTGAGGAGAAGTGGCCAATTGATATCTGATCCCTTTGTACTTTCTTTATAAACTTCTTTATATATATATATATCCTTTCCAACAATGTAGATTCTGCTCCTACGTCCATCTTTCATGTCTACGTCAGAACACACTGCCACTTCATTCTCCTCTTCCAACAAGAAGCTTGTCACATTCACCAGAAATGGTAAATTAAATTTACCATAATCCACTGTTCAGAGGAAGTCGCTCCCTCCACGACAAGTCTTTGGCCTCATCAATCTTATTTGTGACCCAAATCCTCATCTCATCTGAAAATGCAAGAATACTCTGGTGTAACACCACAAGCTTTTCGTCCCCAACGACTGATAGAGCGGCGGTATCTTCAGCATTAAAACTCTGGTATGGAAGAGGGAGACGCCCAAATCTCTCTGTCTTGAAATCAAAATACTGCAAGAAAAAGCCATTATCTTTATTTCCAGAAACTCAGTAAGCATTTCCTTTCAAAGACATGCCACTGGAAAATACGACCAAGTCACGAGTGATGTAACCAAGATCTCTCCAAGAATTAGTGCTAAAGTCATAGATCTCAAACTCAGCATCCATGAGGTTTTGGTCGTTGTAATAAATGCACGACCTCAAGATTTTGTAGCTATGGCAAGATGTGCTGCTTCCGTATCCAAGAGCATACCTATCATTATTCTGGTAACATTTTCTGGGGTTAGATACATCTAGTTTCACAGGTACAGGGATTCCAAACCACAAGTCTAGTGTTTCTCTCCGTAGTGCATAATATCAAACCGTCGCAGTAAAAGATATTAGAAATGTCAACAGCTTCTGAATCATTTAGCTTGATGAGTTTACCTGTAACCTCCATAGCTGGATCAACTCTGTGGTTAATCCCTTGGAGATTGACGCTGTTTGAATAAAGCCTCAAATTCATCAGTACGATCATTTCCCTTGTTGCTGCTTTACCAAAGTTCTTCTTGACGAATCTCGGATCTCTGAATAAAGCGTACCATCGTTTGCAAGTAGTCTTCCATTTTGCTAGAGACTTCGCCGGAACCCTATAAAGTATTTCCGATTCCAAATCGTGTGGAAGATCGGAAATCATCATTTGCTTTCTTATTGTTTTTGATATGATAGCTGGAGGAAGATAGCGTAGAAGAGTGTATATACAAAAATTAGCCCTTACCATTCATTGAAAGCTCACTAATTTTGTTTATAAAAAGCCCACTGGATTTTGTATACAAGCCCATTAGCTTCACAGATGTCTTTGATTTGAACCCTTTTTTTTTTTTGCGAGTCGGTTTTCCGCAAAAAGCAGTCGTTGCCTCGTTGTTTGTGTAACACGTGTCAAGAACCACTTAACACGAATCCAAAATCGAGAAGCCAAAAGAAGCTGGTACTCGCCACGTAGTTAGCCACGCGTCATAAGCCTATCTCTTCTTCAACTAATACATAAAGAGAAGCAATCACAGCACCATTCCTCGGAGAACACATCACAATAAACAGAGGTATTTTCTTTCTTCTGAAACTTGATTACTATCTATCAAATACTGCTCATTCCTGCGCGACAAAGAGAAAGAGAGAGCTAGATTATAAGTTATATAATCATATAATACTTTGTGTTCACTTAGTGTAATAAAAATGGGGGTAACAGAGAGAAGAGTGTACGGTTTGGTTATGGTATCTATGGTACTTATAGCTATTGCAACGATGTGTTGTGTCCAAGCTACGATCGAGGAAGAAGCGGCTAAGGATGAATCATGGACTGATTGGGCCAAGGAAAAGATCGGTCTCAAGCACGAAGACAACATCCAACCCACTCACACCACCACAACCGTCCAAGACGACGCTTGGAGAGCGAGTGAAAAAGCCGAGGACGCAAAAGAGGCGGCTAAACGCAAAGCAGAGGAAGCGGTTGGAGCCGCAAAGGAGAAAGTGGGATCGGCTTACGAGACAGCTACATCGAAAGCTGGCGAGGGTTTGGGTTCCCTGAAAGAGAAGGCCTCGCAGGGTTACGACTCGGCTGGTCAAGTTAAGGATGACGTGTCTCACAAGTCAAAACAAGTTAAAGATAGCTTGTCCGGAGATGAAAACGATGAGTCTTGGACTGATTGGGCCAAAGAGAAAATCGGAATCAAGAACGAAGACATCAATAGCCCTAACTTGGGAGAGACGGTATCGGAGAAGGCTAAAGACGCTAAGGAGGCTGCTAAACGCAAAGCGGGTGATGCTAAGGAGAAGTTGGAGGAAACGGTTGAGGCAGCGAAAGAGAAGGCGAGCGATATGACGAGTGCAGCTAAGGAGAAGGCAGAGAAGTTGAAGGAGGAAGCAGAGAGAGAGAGTAAGAGTGCGAAGGAGAAAAGTAAGGAAAGCTACGAGACTGCGAAATCTAAAGCCGATGAGACTTTGGAGTCTGCAAAAGATAAGGCGGCGCAGAGTTATGACTCAGCTGCGCATAAATCGGAGGAAGCTAAAGATACCGTGTCACACAAGTCAAAACGTGTTAAAGAGAGCTTGACCGACGATGATGCTGAGCTCTAAAAAGTTGGGAGAAACTTACCTATGTGTTGAACAGTGTTAGATGTTGATCTTGCTTTTCTTGTTACAGATGTTTAATTATGTATCATGTTTTAATCTTTTTCATGTTTTAATAGTTTTGTTTTGTTGTGTATCTGTTGATCTTTTGGGATATACACATTACGTTATGAATTAAGAGGCTAGATGCAACTAATCGGACCCATTAGTGAGGCATGGTGGCCCAAGTATTGTAAGGTCAGAAGCAGCAAGCTTGCTAAACGACGTCGTCATTCCTTTGGTCAGAAGACAATGATGTTTGCAGGCTTGCAGCCGACGTTTTTAGCAAGTAGGCTTTGATGTTGCAACGACGCCGTTTCGTAGTATTGAGAAGAGGATCCAAACCAATACACCGATTAGCCATTAACCTTAAGCCATTGCCATCACTTATTTATTTACTAATCTGGCCACATGGATTAACATAAGACCAGACACGTAGATCGTATATTTATTAAACTTAGCCTTTATTTTATCTTTTTGGCTTTTGCCCCCACTCCAGTGGTCGAGTAGTGGGTGGTGAGAAGAAGTTGATTGCTCACATCACAAACTTAATTATAATAACATTACCTTACGCTCTTTTTAATCATAAGGTGGTTAACTTTTCCAAATTGAATTAAACTAATAACCTCGACACGACTCTTCGTTCCTACTTTGCTTACAATTATTGGAACTGTAATCATCTAAGGTGAAAATTAATATATTCTACATACACTTTTTGGGGTGATGTCAAAATTGTGACGCGATAGCTTTTGCTTTCTTCTTTCTTGTTCCCAAGGGTTGGAGATTCCATAGCGCGTCAAGCAACACTATTATTTAGCGTACAATATTACATATTATATTTTATCACATCCTATACTAATATTTGGGAAGTACATCCTAAGGATCATAACTTAAATTTTGTAAGAAATTACAATATATGCCATTATATAATTCTAATCATAAAATTTATTCCATGTCACTAATATATATAAACGGGTCAACGGGTCAACGGATTTAAAGATATTAAAAGATTTTGTTTATATAATACATAATTAATATAATTCGAGAATATTATATACTAATCAATATTAGAGATTATATAATACATAAAAATGTTATATAATACATAAAAAGATTTTGTTTATATAATACATAAAAATGTTATATACTCATATACTAATATATTATTCGAAAATATTATTGAAAATTGAAAATGTTATTCAAAATGTTATATAGTAATCCATTATTCGAACATCTTATAAAAAATGTCATTGAAAATGTTAATGAAAATGATATATCATTGAAAACATTTTATATCAATCCAATTTATAAAAAATAAAAAATGCTATTTTGAATTATAATACTCATATAGTTCGAAAATGTTATATAAATTGAAAATGTTATATAATTCTCCATTTTTTGAAAATGTTACTAAAAATTGAAAATGTGTCTACATTCTTATATCTAAACAAAATTTATTTTCAACTACAATTCGTAATCTTTGACAATATTTTCAGTTTTCTAAACATTTGTTATCATCAATTTCGTTGTTTTTGATTAAGCTAAACAATACAATATTTTTAGTTTCCTAAATCTTTGTTTCTGACTTCAGTTGATTATATTGTTTAGGTAGTATGATTAGCTTAATCAAAAACCATAATCATAATTAATCCACGTCGCTAGCATTATTCATTTTTTAATTACGCGGGTCATTGGGTCATCAGATGGGTTTAATTATACTACCTAAACAATATAATCACATAATCTACATATACATTTTTAGAGGGGATTTTGGTTTTTAATTCATTTGGGTCAGGTTTTGACCCAGTTTAATTCTGTTCGGATCTTAGATAAGATAATTAAGGAAAGTTTTTAAAGAAAAACGACACTAATTAGTAATAAATTCGTTTTTTTTTTTTTGAAAAAATAATAAATTCGTTTTTCATATTTAATATCACAAAAAATCTTTTTTGATAATATTTTCTGATTTAGGCAACAGAATATGATTAATTTATGACAATAAAACTATAAAATCTATATTATCCTAAAAGCGAATCCCTAAAATAACGTTAACAGGAAACTAATTGCACCAACTAATCTAAATAAATAGCATATTACTAAATCGCAATTGTGTCATCAATCATTTCTAATAATAGTTGGTATAAAATTTAGAGAATATCTCAATTTTTTATTCGCGAATTAGCATTAAATATTTGAATTAAAGATTACACGTTTAACAAACTTGCCAAAATCTCAACATATTATCTTTAACGACACAATTAGGGTTAGTTAATATTTAAATCCCCAACGAATTATAGAAATATATTAAATACTCAAATAAACGCATAATCCTAGCATATTCCAATTAACAATATAAAAGATTTACTTCCTAATATCTTGCGGCAGTTATTATTTTTTTTTCCGAAGATTTCTATGAATTACCGAAACCTAATTAGTTTTCCTATAAATACTAAACACCTAAACTCCATTTACCATCACCAAACACAAAACTTGGATGATTTCTCTTTCTTTGTTCTTTCTTTGTTGTTTCTTTCTCTAGCTAAAATATTTATTGTTTTTCTTTCTTCTTTTCATTTCTCTACAACTAAAAAATTCTAGATTTCTTCACAATATGTATCACTAATATATATTTCGTATTGTTTTTTGCAGTTCAATTGTAACCGCCCATTCATGGCAATTAAGAGTGGCATCAGTGCATCGAAAAGTATGTATTTTTCGTTTTTGATTATGGTCAAACTGGGTTTTAGATTCATCATATGTAAATAATCTCATAACTAAATTTTACTAAAATTTTGCTAATCTCTATCTACTTAACATTTTTGAAGTACAAATTTGCTCCTCTAATCGGGTCGGGATTTTTTTCTGATTTTGACCCAGAAATCTTCAATCGGATCTTTCCTTAAAATATGGCAAAATTTAAAAACGAAAATACCTAATAAAATATAAATTATATATATTTTCTCAACTAATTACTATATTTGAACTATTTATTTATGGTATATTCTTTACAATTTTTATAGATTAGGAAATCAAATATGATAATTTAATGATAATATAACAAATTTGAGCTAATTTTCTAAAACCTCTTTACCTAATTTAAACATAAATATATGATTCTCATTTCACTTTTATTTGATATTATATTTATATTATTTTGAATTATTATAAAATATATATAGTTAATAATTTTTTTTTCTGCATATGTTATGATTTAAATTTTTTTAAACAGACATATATTACTCAATCGATGAAGAAAAAAAATATGTGTGTAATCTATATTAACATTTTTTAAGAACAAATTGCACATTTAATCGGGTCGTTTTTTTTATTCTGATCCGAAATTGAATCATTCAGATCTTTTCTTAATTTCTACAATTATCTAAAACAAGACAGTATACCACGGGTGAGATCCTAAAATTAACAAATCAAAATACAATTATTTAGTATTTTAAGATACAATTATAAATTGTTTTTACGGGTTGGTCCAAAAACACATACTAATTTTAAAATATATATATATATTATGAAAACCATTTGAAAGTAAACTTTTAAATTGACTCAAATTATATATCTTTTAAATAAAAGTGTTATTAAAAAAATTACAAAATGATGTTTAATTCCACAGAACATGAGTATATGGTGGGACGGGTTTGGATCGATATTAATACGGGACAATATACTACGGGTGAAATCCTAAAATTAACAAATCAAAATTTAATTATACAATCTTAAACAGTAAACAAAACAAATACAACTTAAAATTTTTATTTTTTTATATACAACGCATATGTCCCACGATGTAC